CGTTTCTGGTTAAAACTTCATGTGGGCGTGCTAGGTGACAAATGAAAAAGTTCCTTCGATTTTAATAGTAAAAATTGTCATGTTGCACGAAATTTCTTATAATATATAAAAGATGAATTTACTTTCTCCTTGTTAATGTATATATAATAATAATGTAGTGAAACATAGTGTTGAAATTCCGTTGTGGGACTAGTACAAATTTAGAAAATATCTCTAAAAATTAAAAATTTGATTGGTGTGTAATGTTACACCCCCGCATTCCCCACATCGAATTTTCAACACTGGTGGAACATAGTACAACTTTCGCGTCAGGGTTTTTTATAATTAAATAGCTCGTATTTTTTCTTTTCTTTCTTGCTTTTGATTAAAAATATTTTCATCCAACAGTTATTGCCTTTATCCACACGTTTATTGATAAATTAATAAAAAATACAATGAATTTTCAAAATAGTCAAGGTGATGTTCCTTCACCGGATGCACCTAACGTTCCTAGTGAAGCTTATTCTGGACATGATCATTTTCACTCAAGCATTCCGATAAATATCTTATACGACAACGACAACAACAACAACAACAACAACAACAACAACAACAACATATCTCACCAGAATACGAATGGAGATAATTTGAACAACGATAATATATCCCATCAGAATACAAATGGTGATAATTCAAACAAGGATATGCTTTTTATAGCTGTTCAGCTTTTAACATCAGCAACAACAGCGGCGGTAACAGTCTCAAAAGAGGCTGCAATAGCATTATTAATATTTAACTTAGTAGCTGTTTGCTTCTTAATTATGATAAAAAGAAAGCTATTAGATAAATTTTGAATACCATAATATCGGTCGGATTATTGTTAAAAAAATTTTTTTTTAAAACAAATACTAGAGTGTACGCAGTAGAAACTCGATTATTAATTAAAAAATATATAATGAAAAATCGTTAGAATTATATAATTTAAAATTATAATTCTTAATAAAGTTTCTTATTTTGCACTTTGCAACGCCATCTATTTTTTCCCAATTAACCACACCAACACGTTAACGAAAATTTCCCATCGTCATCGGTATCCAACCTTCGAAAATGAAATAATATTAAATTGGTTATGATTGAAAATGGCTCCTCAATTAATTGAGACTAGTGTTGGTTTCCAAAACTCGAGAGTTTCGCAACTGTGCGAAAGTCAAAAGGTTTCGCCATAAGTCAAAACTAGTTTTGATTTTTGACTATTTACTTTTGATTTAGTTTTGACATATAACTTTTAATTTTAGTTTTGAATTTCACCTCTTCAAAACAGTTTTGGCGACCAACACTGGTTGAGACTTGATTGCGGTTAATTGCGGTTCCCATACACTTTTGGGCAAGTATTTATATATATAATCAAAAAATACAATTTATCTGTATATAAAAATTTAATCAATGTCCATATCGTCGTCATTACTATTACCACCATCATCACCATTATTGCTGTCTTCTGCCTCGTCATCTTTTTCTTTGCCTTCATCATCACCACAGTCACCATAGTCACCACTGTTGCTGTGTTGTCGTTCTGATGGTTGTTGTCATCGTTGTTGGAGTTGTCTTTGTGTGCGTAACCTTTTTCTTTCAATTTTTGCAGCCGTAACTCCCATCTGAGCAGGATATCATTTATTTCGGTGTTGTCGTCGTTTTTAGTGTTGTTAGCCGACTAGTTGTAGCCGCAACTAAAGATTTATATCTAGCTGCGACTAGAAATTTTTCAAGTTGATTTAGTTGCGCGCGATTGGATTTCAGCCGTAAATTATTACAGCCTTAATGTTACTGTGATATTAGATAGTCGTGCGTGACCAGTGTATAAAATTCGATGTTGGGACTGTTATTTTGATTGAAAATTTTTTCCAAATTTGTACTAGTTTTTTTTTAAAAAAAAAAAAAATAAAGCATAGCGCTATTTTAAGTTGTTAAAATTGACATTATTTCATAGATGGATCGTCAATTAAACTTCTTTTTTTTTTCAGATAGATAGGTTTCGTGTCAAATTTGCATTAATTTCAAAAAAGCAAAGATTAATATAATATTCCATAGAAAATTTAAAATCCACACAATTTTCAAAAACTGTTTATTAAAAAAAAATTTTTTTTAACCCACAAATCAATTTTTTAAAGAATATTGAATTTTTTTATATATTAAATTACTTTTTTAAAAGAAAAAAAACAAACAAATAAAAAGAGAAAAAACAAATAATTAATTAAAAAAATTTATTATTATTATTCAACGGTTACCTAAAAATTAATTTAATAATATATTATGAGTTAATATATTATTAATAATTAAAATCATGTCAAACGACCAACATTTATACTTACAGATTTAGCCAAATTTCTTGGGAAATCTACATCAACACCATTTATAACAGCTAAATGATATGACAATAATTGCAAAGGAATAATTGTAAGAAGACCTTGTAAACAATCAACAGTTTGAGGGACACGAATTGTTTTGTATTGATTCGATATTCCTTCATCACCATCATTACAAATAATGATTGGTTGACCTTTACGAGCTGATACTTGTTCAAGTGCACTTTGTACTTTCTATAATTATTATAATTATTAATTTATTAAATATATTAAAATTATGATTTCATTAAATACTTATTTATAAATATAGATATACTTACCGGGTACAAGGAATCTTTTGTCATAATAAGAATGACTGGCATATTTTCATCAATAAGTGCTAAAGGACCATGTTTCAATTCTCCAGCCAAAATACCTTCAGAATGCATGTAAGAAACTTCTTTTATCTTCAAGGCACCTTCGAGACATGTGGCATGTTGATAACCACGACCCATAATCAAAAGACTTTTTTCTTTGTATAAAACATCTTTTGCAAGTTGTTCTAACTCTTTATCAAGAGTAAGAATTTCTTTTATATGGTTTGGTAATTTGTTAAGTTCACTGATGATCTCATTACGTCTTTGTGTCATTGATGATCTGTCTTCACTTAATTGAATAGCCATCATGACCAATGAAATATATTGAGACGTATAAGCCTAAAAACAACAATAATTGTTATTATTATTATTATTATTATTATTAAGTATTATTAAATCACAATATTAACAATGAAGAAGTTGTTAAATTTTTTAATTACTTTTGTAGAAGCAACTCCGATTTCGGGACCTGCATTGATATGAACACCACAGTGTGTTTCACGTGAAATGCTAGAACCGACAGTATTTGTAATACCTAAACACAAAGCTCCACGTTCAAGACAATATCTTAATGCAAGGATTGTGTCAGCAGTTTCACCAGATTGTGAGACAAATACACAAACATCATCTCTGAATATTGGAGTTTTTCTATCCAAGAAATCACTGGCCAATTCCACAGAAATAGGAATTTCAGTTAATTCTTCAAAAATTGCACGTGTCTAATTTAAAAAAAATTTTTTAAGGAAATAATATATATATTTAAATATGTAAAAGGCAAATATATATATATATATAACAGAGATAACACTTACAGCCACGCAAGAATGATAACTTGTACCACATGCACAGAAAACTAAACGTCTACAACGTCTAATAGTTGCTAAATAAGCTTTAAGACCACCAAGCGTCACCTTATTATTTTCAAAGTTGACACGACCACGCATAGTATTTACCACAGATTCAGGTTGTTCAAAAATTTCCTTTTGCATAAAGTGATCGAAAGATCCTTTCATAATTTCTGCAAGTTCAATTTCCAAAGTTTGAATGGAACGAACAGCTGATATTCCATCATCGCGTCTTAAACGATGAATATGTAATTCTGTTTATTATTATAGTCATTATTGTTATTTTATTATTATTGACAAAAAAGATTCCAAGAAAGAAACTTCAATTCATATATCAAGGTGGAAAAAAATAAAAAAAATAAACGAATTACCTCCTTCACTCATATGTCCTATATCATCATCTTCTAAATAAAGAACTCTTTTTGTATGTTCAACAATTGCAGAAGGATCAGATGCAAGGAAGTATTCGATAGGTTGAGGTAAACCATCTTCACTAAGAAAAGCACGTGATTGACTGCGTCTGAGTTTAGGATGACCATCAGTTGGAGATGTTAATAAATTCGGTTCAACTTTATCATCTATTATTGTTGTTAATATAATGATATAATGGCATTGCATTAAATACTTTTGGTATATATGTGATTAGTGATTGTTAATAATAAATAAATTAATTAGTTCATACCTGTTCCAAATTCAACATCAACAAAGTCAACTTTTAATTTTTTTTCTGTTTTTACACCAATTAAAAGAGGAGATCCACGACGTGTTGCAACGATTTCATTTGGAAAATGAACACTTTTAAAGATTAAAGCAAATGCTCCTTCCTATACACGTATATAGATAATTTATTCACAAAAAGAAAAATAAATAAAAAGTTTTATTTTTCCCATTTGCTAAAAAAAATAAAAATAAAAAGAAAAGGATTGATAACGATGATGATGACGATAATGATAATTACCAATTCTTTAACTACACCTTTAACAAGAGAGGTGAAACTTAAATTTTGATTAGCCTTTTGAGAATCATATAAATATTTAGCAAGTTTAGCAACAGCTTCAGTGTCGGTTTCAGTTTCAAATATGTAATTTTTTTTTTCAAGAACTAATTTAAGCTCTTTATAGTTTGTAATAATACCATTATGAACAACGGTAAATTCGGCCTTTGGATCGGATCTGTGAGGATGTGAGTTTGTTGACGAAGGTTCACCGTGAGTAGCCCAACGAGTATGAGCCATACCACAATGATTTACAAATTGTTTTTCAAAATCAACTTGTTGCTCCGAAACAAATTTTTTTAAAGCACCAACTTTTCCAACTTGTTTATATATTAAAACTTCTTCAGATTCATCACCATCAACTGCTAACCCTGCCGAGTCATAACCACGATATTCCAGACGAGCCAAACCACTAACAAGAGTATCAATTATTTCTTTTCTATCCTTTGTTAATAGATAATTAGAATATGCAAATATACCACACATTTTGATCTAAATTAAATTTTTTTTTTTTAAAAAAAATAATTTTTGTTGCAATTAACTAGACGATACAAACGATTTATTAAATAAAAAATGTATTATGATATGTTTATATCTTATATATGTATTATTTTATGTGTGAATTATGTATTGCGTGTTTTAAATATATATTTTTGTATGTTCAAGTTTAATTTTATTTATTAATATAAGAGGTATGATTAAAATTTTGAAGAGAGAAGAAACATTTGTTGGAGTGGGTAAGGGTGGTATTTATAGCTTTTCATTTTCAGAAATTCTAGGGGGGCAAAGAAAAGTGTAATTGACCCTGAATTTTGATGGTTTAAAAAAAACGACGAATGAAATTGATTAATTTGATTGATTAATTATATGTCAACAAAAATCAATATGATATTCAACAAATCTTAAAGCTTTTTTATTATTGGTTTGTGAATATCGAATATTGTCGAATGTAAATGAAGAAATGTAAAGAAATGTGTAAACATGTATGTGAAAATTCTTTTTTTAGATTTAATGCGAGCAAGTGTAACATTAATGTAATACAAATCAACATGAAAAAGAAAAACAAAAAGAAACTCCTAATATTTATTTTTTGATTCATTGCCGAATTATGCTTAGATTGCGCAAGTGTAAAGTTAATCTTCCAACCAATCATTCTCATCATCGTCAAGAAGAAAATCCTCGTTCTCATTTGGTTTTTTTAATTTCTTAATATCTTTAATATCTTTCATTACAATTAATCTATCATATAAGTGTGGAAAAAAATCTCCTCCGTCTACATTATTGTTTTCCCATTTAATATTATTTTTAATTTCTTCTTCTTGTTCTTCTTGATGATGATTATTATTATTATTATTACGATAATAGATTTTCACTAGAGTTATTTCTTTTTCATTTTTGAAAAATAAATTTGCAACAGTTAAAACTTGTCTAGCTGTTGAAAGATGAATAAATCCATCGTCAATATCCAATTGTGTTAACGGCAGAATGTAATTAGATGGAGAAGAAATTGAAGGTGGTAGTTCATGTTTTGTTGAAAGAATTTTGTAAAGATAATTAACATTACTAGTTGTTAACATTTTTTTTCCCCTAAAATTTTTCCGTGTGTGTGTGAATTATCTATCACCTTAGATTTGTTACACGCAATGTTTTTTCGGAGGAAAAAAAAAAGGTTTTTGATCGAATATTTATTGTCTTCTTACTCGACAATTTATTAAATGTTTAATAATTTTTTCACGTTGTACGACATAAAACAAACCTAACTCATATTTCTACCCAATCAAAATAAAGAACGGGTTTTTTAGTGTTTTATCAAAAAATATTGGCCAAAAATAAATTTTCTTTTGTAATAATGTCTTTATTTGATTTTGGTTTTTCATTTCAAAAAAAAAGTGCTTACTATTATTATTATTGTGAAGATCTGGAATAGATAAAGCTTTTAGAAGAAAACAATTAATTATTTGTCAAAAAAAGTAAAGAAAAAATAATTATTCGAATAAAGATGATAGATAATTGCACAACAAAACCAGACAAAGTGAACATTTGCATTACAATAGATTTCAGCTTCAAAAATAGTTTAACATCGCTATTATATTATTAACATGATATAACAATTTTTATAACGTAGTGAGTGAGTGATTGATTGATTTTATTCGCTGATTTTGTTTGAACCCCAAAATTCAGTCAATAACTTTATACTAGCAAAAACCCATTGGTTTGACGGGCTATTGAATACTAAAATAGTTTTTTTACTGGAGAAAAATTATTTTTTTAGAGTTAGTTATCATTCTACTGACCAGTTTACACATTAAAAATACAATAAGATATAAGGTTTGAAAAAAAGGCCCCAAAACCAAGTTGGCTGATATGTATTGATTTGTAATCGATTTTTATATTGCGAGTAGCTTTCTGGTCAATCTTTATTGTTTTACATTTATGGCCGAGTTTGAGTTAACTTTTTAGCTAGACTCTTTGATTCTTCATATTCATTACTCGTCAATTAATTTATTTTATGAATTTATTTAACAATTACCCTCTTGTACCTAGAAAGCTTCGGCAAATATATGAGCCCATTTTACGGCACAAATAATAAAAATACGAAAGAGGCTAGATCGCATCTCCGAGACGATTGGATCTTTTGATTTTTAATTTCTTTGCATAAGATTGTTGGAATTATTTATTTAGAATTTATACTTTACATATTCTAAAATATGCAATTATAACGTTAATAAAATCTTTTACCACATCTAGAATTTCTTTACATCATGACCAATCTTAGCCCACCTTTAATGTTATTTTTATTATTAAAAATAAAAATATGCTGATGCAGGACAACAAATTATTTTGTTACAGACTTAAATTCACAGCTTGTTAACAGTGTATAAATTCCAGCATGTAACTAATGCTGATTTCTACAAATTTAGAAACTATCTGCAGAAAACTACTATATAATACTAATGTACGATGTTACACCCGCACATTCCCACATTGAATACACTGCTTGTTGATCGTGCTTTTTTTAATTTTTTACCCATTAAAGGGAATTGCCAAATGTGGATTATGTTTAGATATAAATTTTTGCCGATCACTTTAATTGATCAACATCCACCCCTAAATGTTTTAAGTATTCAGCAACTGAATCGTTGATAGTGGATGGCATAAATTTTTTTTTTAATTTATTATACGTTTCAAATTGTTTATTATGTTATAGTCCACAAATTGGGATTTCCAAATTAGGAAGGTACTGTATGCACAGTGAGTCTTGGTTAGCGGATAAATTTCAAAAACTATAATTATTTTATCTCGCTTTAACGGATTAATAAATATTAATATTAATGCATTCGGTTTACCAAATATTTTTTGAAAATCCATATTAAATTTTTTCTCGATAGTCCAATTTTATAATGGCACGTAATAACGTAATGTATTATTAATATTAATAATATAAAGAATTAATTTATATAATGATGTGTTAATTATAAAGACAATAATTGTGAGATTGCATGTGGATTAAAGATCGAACGTTCGTTAATGGTGATACTACTATGATTCTAATATAATGTCATAATTATAATTAATTTTCTTTATACTATTTTAAAATAATATTAATGATTATTTATCCAATTATAAAGTACCCAAGAAGCAAAACAATGTCGAATTGACGAATTATGAGTGAAAACGATATTATTATTTTTATATATACACATATATATTTATTATTATTGTATGTATTTAATTTATACACTGATTTCGATCATAAGTTTCGCTTTTTGCGGTTTAATGGATAAATTTTCTGAAGAAAGCATCAAACCGAGACTCATTTTGGTATAGTAATAGGATTTTCCTAAATTTTTTTATTTTATTGTTATTGGCCTTTTTAATTTTCCTAATTAATGCCATGATAATGGTAGTTGTGACAATTTATTATTATTCCTTGTAACGTGTTTTTACATCATTTATTTTATATAATATAATAATAGATTTTAGTAAATTTGCATATTAATATTGTAGATGATCTAATATAATGTCCTATGTGGTATAATTAAAATTTTGGGTGGACATGAAGCTCTTGGCTAATTTGAATTTCACATACGTGAATTGCAAATTCACATAAATTTCATTTTCATCCACAACAGTACCAAATATTCGCGTAAGGGAGAATTTTTTCCGGATGAGGGAAGCAATTTCATTTGCATGTACAATGGAGCCTATCTGATGATTACATTTATATGGTATAATCATCCAGAATCGAATTAATTTACTTATTGAGTTGATATAAAAATAAAAAATATATTTCTTTATTATTAGAGTAGTTTTACAAGAGAATAGAAAATCAAATTCAATTTAAAAAAATTTATCCTAATACTTCCAATAAACCAGCTAAAATAAATTCTATAAAGAAATGATGACAAATATTCCAAACTATCTGATATAAATATTTTGGTGAGAAGACTGTCCAAATAAATAAATGATTTCTTAGAATTGTGACTGCTATGGATAATATGAATAATGATAACGAATGAAATGTTGATGTTGTATATAAATAATTTAAAAATAATGATAATGATTTTGATTTTGTTCGAAATGATTTTAAATTATTTTTTGCTGATAAATCTTTTTTATCATCATCATGATGATGATGACGATGATTATCATTATTGCTGTTACTAAATTTGATTATAACGTTATTTCTGATTATTTTTCCTGTGATAACCCACCATATAGGACCTGACCAATTTATTAAGAACGTTAATAGTCCAACCAATCCTATATTATATTCTTCAACTCCAGTATACGCATTACTAATATCAATTGAAGCTAATGAATTGGAATTCCCTAATGAAAAGAAGGAAAAAAATTGGAATGATATTAAAATAAAATCTGGGAAAATATTACTACTATTGCTATCGCTATCGTCATCATCATTATCATCATTGTTTTCTTTCAAGTCATTTGTTGAAATGATTTCATCAAAGATTTTCTGATTTAAATAAAATTGAATATAAAATAATATAAATAAAGGAATATTATGTAGCTTTGCTAATAAAATAAATAAATATGTGAATAGATTTAACAATAGGTTTGTAAAAATATTTGTATTATCTAATAATTATAAAGTTTATAAAGCAAGTATAATTAGCAATTGTTGTTACTTTAATCATATTCAAAAGAAAAAAATATTTAGATATTTACCTTTCTTATATTGATTGACAATTATTATTAGTATCATTAAAATAATAAACATCTTATAAATAAGCCTTGCCAACATTACTTGATTATCAATTTGTATAATAAATGATATTAGTTTGAACGTATTTGGAAATAAATCAATGCTTCCATTCATTTCTAGTTTATATTTAACTAAAGCTAATGTAAGTAATGTAAGGATTAATGATGAGCCAAATCCAAAAATTTTTAGAATTAAAGTGAGGAAATAATTTTTTTCATCTTTAATTTTCAATAAAAAGAAATTATAAATTTGAGAAAAAGTGATCAGGAAAAGTCCACCAATAGTTGTGAAAACTAATGTCCACATTAATCCTACGTGTGTAGTATTCAAATAAAATTTTAAATCAATTTCACCCGCAAATTTTTGTCCTTAGGTTTTTTTGTGGAGGGAAATAAAATCAATCAATCAATCAATCAATTAATAATTTCATTTTTCAATTGTTTGTCAAAAACTTACCAGTTTGATTCCAAATTCTTATAAAACGTACGAGTACTAATTGTCCAATTAAAAACAATAATAACTTATTATTGGATTTCATTTTTCCAGAACTATTTAAACTATATATAAATATAACATAGAATAATAGATTGCATTAACAATTATTCAATTGCAAAAATAATAAATATCTCAAAAATAATAAATAATAAATAAATAAATACCTTCTAAAAAATATTACAGTCCATAATGTTTGAATCCAAAAGTACCAAAACTGATGCTCCTCCTCTATATAACTACTAGCAAACATTGTTATACAAAATACTAAAGTTCCAATCACAGAAAATAATTCTGCTTCTGATTGATTAGAAATATGGTGATGATTATGATAATGGTTCATTCCAATCATTGCAAACCATATTACTGAAAATCCTAATAATAATAACCCACTTAACATTGAAAAAATATCATAATCACTAAAACTTGATGTAAGTTTACTCCTAGATTCATTTATGAACTACATTATTAAATTAAATATAATATATATATTAAAAAAATATTAAAAACATACCATTCATAAAAAAAAAAATTTTTTTAAATCATTTTCTTACTTTATCATAACTGGAGAATGCCTTTTGAATATGATCTTTATCTTGAGTAAATAGTGCTTTTTTGTGATAATAATATCCCAAATTAAAGAAACATTGTAATCTTTCTTGATCATTATTAGGAATAGCACTACAGATATCTTTACTTGGTTCATTCGAAATGTCCGGATTACGATCAAATGATTTCCATGTTGATTTTAATATTCCTGCAAGTTGATATGAATTCAATTGAAGGAGCCTTAATTTTTCAAAACCTTTTTTAAAATAGGGTATTATTATTAAAATTTATCAATTAATTAATCAGTCAATAAATCAATCAAAACACACCATCAATATTTCCAAAAAGATCCAAAATAACTTTCCCAAGATTATTAATTGGTAATGGAAGTCCAAAGAAAAATGAAATAGTAGGTACAAAATCAATTTGATCTACTACTTTATAATATTTATAAGAATTTGGATCATGATTTACTGCATTGAATACTTTGTGTTGTTGCTTCATTGAATCAAATTTTGAACTTATGAAAAGTAATGCCTGAAATAATATCAGAATTAATAATTAAAATGAAAAATTATCTTTCTAAATAAATAAAATGTGTGTCTATAGAAATTTCTTTTGAGGAATTTTCAAATAATTTAAAATCATACATATTAAGGTGTTTGTCACATACTGTTGAAATTTCACCAGCAGATGATCCACCATGATTTCCTGCCTTTAAGTTGAATATTTTAATATCTGGTAAGCTCAAAAATAATTAAAAAAATCTAATTAACCAAACAAACAATAAGTAACAAATTTAAACCTCATTCATTCCATGATCTCCACACAATACAAGAAGAGTGGGTTTAGAATTTGGATTATTGTTTAATCTTTTGCTATCTTGATCCTTAATTATTTCAAATATAGTTTTTATTACTTTATCCATTTCATGCTGCTTAGGTCTCATAAGAGGACTTGAAAATTTTTTAAAATAAATAAATAATTAATCTTAATTTTTTTTTTTGGAAAAATGTGTATATTAATAATTAAAATAGTTTTACCTATGTGGACCACTTGAATGTCCAACATGGTCTAATCCAAGGTAATGGAATATCAAAACCTCCCAGCTTTGTGATAATAACTGTGGTTTAATATTTCTTGTTACATTTAAATCAACTTCAACTGTATCCTTTATATATTTTTTTTGTGTGTAAAATTAAAAATTTGTTTAAAAAGTAAATTTAAAATAATAAATAAAATTAAACACATACTGTTGCAAAAAAAGATGTTGTTCCATCTGTTATATCAAAAATTCCTGGAAATAATTTTATCCAAGTGTCATCACCAAAAAAAGAAATAGATTTATTATTTCCATTAATTTTCATCTGAACTAACCAGTTATCACTATTTTTTAATGTGGAAGATGTATCAGAATCTGCAATGTTAAGTATTGCATCTAAAAAATTTGGTACAGTTCCTAAAATTTTTTAAGATCAATTTTAATAAATAATTTTAACCAAGAAGTTCATTGATCAATATTAATATTAACCTGTGGTAAGTGCTTTTATCCTTGGCAGGGTAACTGTTGGAGCTGTTGCAATAGCTGTGTATGGAATTGCATAATGATTTTCTATAAGACTAACAAAATATCATCAAAAATAAGTCCTTTTTTTTTTTTTAAAAAAAAAATATAATAAATTTTGTTGTCAACACAAAATACCTTTTAACAAATTTCATTTCAGAATTTTCTCCAAAAACAAAGTCACTAACAAAACATTTACAATTAAATAAAATTATTTTATTCAAAAATAAAATTAATTGTTTTATATTTTATAAACACCTTCTTAATGCATCAATTAGTACCAAGACAAGTCTATCAAATTTGGGTGTTGGTGGTAAAATTTTCTCGCCAGTTGGTAAAGGTGGAAACTGATCATAGTTGGCAAACCCTAATAAATTTGTTTTATATGGGAAAAATCCTTGTGAAAATATTATCAGTCCTAGAAATTGTAATAAAAGAATAATAAAGAGATTTGTCCAATTTTTATTTAGGAAAATATTCATTGTTAGAATTAAAAGTGTAGTTGTTCCGTCGTCGTATTAATTAATATCTTTTTAGGTGAAGATCGCAATTTATATTTTTTAATCTGCGATGGAAACTACCTCTTTTAGTAGTAATAGCCGAAATTATCGAAAACTGGGGAGGGGGCAAAATTTAATTTTTTTATAGGGCCCAAATTATTTTTTATGGGCGAAATTATTTAAAAAAATATTGAGAGCCCAAACTACTGCCAAAGCTACTTTTTTTGAAAATAATTTGGACCAGAAACCTTAATTCCTTCTGGCTGACCTTAGGTATGATAATATAATTAAAATTTCGGGGGCTGAGTGGCTCTGGAATTTTAATTGAATTAGAAATTGCATAGTTGTCAAGGAGACTGTTGAATCCTCTCACTTGTCCAGGATGCCTAATCTTCCAACCCATGATAAAAATTCCATCACATGTGGATGCAAGAGCACCAGGTTTTATGTTTGTAAAAGGAAAATTTTATTAAATCCGAAGTCTATGATCAAATATCTAATTTATTCATTTTATTTTTTTTTGAAAATGACTATGACTTGTAATTGCATCAATCAGGAAGGCAAGATAATTTTTGGAATGGAATTATTTCTTTCTTTCTTTAAAAGTTTTATTTCTGCATGGCCTTATATTGTTATCAAATGCATTGCATAACCATGATTAAATAACTTTTATTTATCAGGTAGGTCTTATGTAATCACTGGCAGAAATAAACAAACTTATTTTTTGCAACTTTATATTACAATCATGTGATACAATCAGTTTATCATTTATTTTTTAATGTTTACATAATAAGTTACATTAAAAAAAAATTTTTTATTTCTACCATTAATACATTGGACCTACCTGATAACAAGAACTTATCTGCAGAATTTAGAATACAAGAGCTGTAATATGGGCATGTTGTAACAAAATAGACATTGATATCTTTTGGAAAGTTCAAGATTCTTTACTGATTAATACAATGTGATCTTGATGCACAGTTTTCATAATTTTCAGTTTTATTTTATTCCATAAATTTTTAATTGGGAATGGTTTGCCTCAACTGCCAACCCATTCCAAATATTCACAATATGGTCTAGTGTTGACTGTGAAAGAAAAAATAATTAGTTAATAGATTCATTGAAGCAACAGAATGATGAAAACAGACAAACCTGCAATAGAAACATTGCCAATTTTTCAATCATTAATAATTGATTATTTGATTGAGGTAGCTTTGTCTTCTTCAATAGACATAACCACAACAAGCCTTTTGCTTTGCATACAACTGTAAGAGAACCTAACATCCTGTAAGTGTTACTCAGATACCATACTTCAATGTATACAAAGTCTAAAAAAAAAGCCTTACCATAAGAACCATACAGTGTTGGCCATAGGTATGCTGCTGCTACACTTAAATCAACTCCAATCCCATAACTTAAATCAAAAGAACCTTGATGCACACCAAGTGTATACAAATTCCTAAAGTCAGCACATTCCACACCATTGTTTTCTCCTGCTTCCTAGAGCAAGACATCACACATAGTAACCATGAAGTTAACCTTATTGTCCCATTTTTTTGAGCTACATGCCTCAGGAAGCCCCTGACCTTGGTCCAATGACTACTTCAAAGTCATCACAAGTGATTCTGAAATACATCCAAGTCAGGAATTAGAAAATTTTGATTTTTAATTGCAAATATGGTTTTCAACTCTGGTTAAGGATTATGAATATTACTTACTAGCTACATATTTTTTTAACAGATATTTTTTGTTGCTAGATTTAATACATGTGCTATGTAAAAAATCATTATCACTATATTTAAGGGCCAAGCTGTTCTTCAAGATTGATCATATTTGACCCATTATCTGTTGTTAGCGTCAATAATTTACTACCAAATAAAATTCTTTTGACGTGCTATTATTTTATCTGCTAAAAATAATGCCATGTGGCTTTCATGTGAAGGAATAAATCAAGTAAGATTTTCCAGTCTTGGTTAATCCAAATGTACTGTCACTCTTGATTAGTGGTAGTAGAAGTCCAGGTATCTGTTGCAAGAGACACTTTATTAGAAAATTTAATAACATTTATTTAATCACACCCTTTTATATAAAAAGAATTAATCCAGATAGATATTGATGGCCAACATGGTAATTCATATTGAGGGTTAAGTTCAGCAACAAATTCAACAAAAAATTCTTTTTCAACAACATCAAAAGATTGTTCGAATATAATACATTTCAACAGCTTATTGTTAAGAGTTTATACCTTTGGATTAACCATTTCAAAATTTAATGTTGCTTGGTAAAGTTGTTGCTGATAAGTATTTCTCAAAGTGATATTTTGCCAATATTCTTTCCCAAACCTAATTCACATTGTGAAGAGCCATTATCAAAATTATTCAAATATTTACGAATGTATGCTATGGCTTGATTTTTTAGATGAAGATGATGTTATTGAGGTTGTTGAGGTTGTTGAGGTTAATTAAATATCATCACAAATAAAAGATAACAGATTAAAATGTAGATCACAATTCGCGTAAAAGATCGACGTACGCAGAATCCTAAAATTGTAGAAATGACAAAACATCTCACTTTTAATTGTAAATCTTTGTTTCAATAGGTGAAAGAAGTCACATTCACATTATGGACTAAATGGAGAGTAAAAGTGTGATACAGCTAAATTGATTCAAAGTATTGTAATTTAGTAAATTATAATAGTTTATTGAAAGACAATAATATAACAGTTGATTTATAATGACAAGACATAAGGTTTTTGAATGATATAATTAGAATTGTTCATTATTTTATTAAATCATCAAATAACATACTAACGTCCTTTTTTTAAAATAATTTAATGGCTTTGATTAAATTTTTTGACAAATAAATATTTTTTAAAACTTATCACTATTATTATAAAAATCAAATTTATTGTTTTACGTAAAAAATTTATATAATTAATATTATTAACAAGTTAAGATTTTTTGGCCGGTCCCAACTTCTATGTTGTGATTTAATTTGATTGTAATTCTTTTCGTAAAAAAATCCAATTTGCAAAACTATTTTCAATTGATGAGATTTTATTGGAAAAATTACAAGTATTAAATGTGAGGATTTTTTTTAAAATTCGTTGCACGTGGACCTTTGGGACCCAAAATGATATTAATATTAATATGAGTGATAATTGAGTCCTATTACTATTATTTTATTACGAAATTGGAAGAATAAATTTTTCTATTTTCTATTTTTCTAATTTATTTAATTTACTTCTATGCATGCATGGATTAAATTCAAATTCGATTCAAATGTTTTTAACAATCAATTATTCATTATCTCGTTATCAACATTATCAACATTATCAACATTATCAACATCAACGTCGCCGTCGTCGTCATCATCATCATCACAATCAGAAGAATCAGAACGAGTCGGTTTATCAATACTTAAAACATCAATCAATTCCTCACTCTCATCATTGTCATTATTGTCATCACCTTGTTCAATGGATTCTCTTTCCTTTTTTTTTTTAATCTTTTCAGACATCATCACCATCATTTCACCATCATCATCATCATCACCTCCATCACTGTTATCATCAAAAATCAAATCAAATTCATCCTCACCCTCTTCGTACTCTATATTATCATCAACCTCTATAAATTTTGGATCTACACAACCCCAATTTTCTTTATGACTTGTTGCCCAAGTGTAGATTGTTCCATCAGCGTCTGCAGAAACAATAGTTGGTTGTATTGGATGTTGTGCTAAATCTATTAGTTGTTCGTTTGGTCCTTCTAAAACTTGAACTAGTCTTGTGGTTCTCCTATCCCATATAAATATTTGATGTGCTGCTAATTTTCCAGAACCTTATTTTATAAAATTTGTATTAAATAAAAATAAAAGACAAGACCAATAATACCAATAGAATAGCTCATTCATTCACTCACTTCATCACTACCAAAATTACAAACTTACCACCAATCACATAATCACCACCTTGATTAAAACAACATTGATTCCAATTATCTTTATTAACAGTTTCAGAAAATTGTAATTCAGAATTATGTATTCCATTTTCATCTAAACAATAAAGACGTATTGTTTTATCGGAAACATTTACCACAACATCTCTAAACAAATCATAACAAAAATTTTAAAATCTCAAATGGTCAGTAAAAAAATATCTAGTAGAATTTATCTATTAATTACTAGACTTACTTCCCATTACGACTAATTGATATATTACGTATTGCCAAATGACTAAGTTTATGAGTATTAATAATCTAATAACAATTAATTTTTAAAATATTAATAATATGTGTAAATACATGTATGCAATTATTTAAAAAAAAAAAAAAAACCTTTCTAATTTCAGCATCTATCAAGTACAAATGTCCTTTATTAGTTCCTGCTATAATACGCTTACCCTTCTTATCAAATTGACATACTACTGTTTTACTATAATTATATATATATATATGGTAAATATTGCGTGATTTGCTTTATGTACAATCAGTAAACAATAATAAATAAATAAATAAATCAATGATATACATTTTGTATACTTTTGAATCATTGTTAGAAGTTGATTCTTCTCCACCACTATTATTATTTGTATCAGGTGTAATATTGGGTTTTTCTTTCATATAATTTGGTAGGTAAAATCTTTTGATTTTCTCATTAGTAATTTCTACAATTAACGCCGGTTCTTGAGATACTGTTGCAACAAACACACGACTACGTTAATAAATAAATAAAAATAAAAGTAAATTGATAATTTATTATAGTATATTATGATACATGATAGATGTTATGTGATATGATACGATATTAATGAATAAAAAATAAAATAAAAATGTTACTTATTTCTAGGATGCATTTGTGCCATTAGTACAGTCCCAGAAAATTTAATCCATTTTTGAGTATTTTCCTTGAGATCCCAATAAACACATTTGTTATCTTCACCAGAAGAAAGCAAATATCGTCCATTATGCGACCAGCTATAATAACAATATATTTATCATTTAAATCAATCAATCAATTGTTAAATCAATTCTAATCAATTCTAATCTAATTTTCTTCCTTTGCACCTTCTTCTACACAGTTCTTCAAAAATTATTCTACTTTTTAAAAAAAAAAACCGACGCGTCTACCTTACACTAGTAACAGTTGAGATGTGACATTTCATTTTATGAACAATGCTCATTGATTGTGCATCCCAAACTTTACAATATCCATCAGAACAACCGCTTGCCAACATGGTACCTTGTTGATTAAAACAAATACAATGTATTGAACCATCTTGAAATTTTGATTCGAGTTTTACAGGATAATCTAACTCAAAAGGACCTATTTTTTATGTTATTGTTATTTATTGTTGTGTCATTGTGTTGAAAAGTATAATTTATTAACTATTATTGTCGATGCAATGTTATTTATTTAAAAAAATTTAAATAAAAGATTGAAATAATTTACTTCGTAATGCTAAATTCATTTTTTAAAAAAAAAAAGTTTTTAATTACACGCTGATTATACCAATGTAGTATTTTTCCTCTTTTGCAACAGATAAAAATTTGTATCAATGTTTCAATGTTCACTGATTAAAATATAATTCTTTGGAAAGCATGAGATAAAAAAACAAGGTATATATAACAAAAATATTTTTTCAAATATGTGTGAATTATATCAAACGATTATAACAGGAATAATGATGATGATGATGATGATGATGGTTGACACTGTTCAATAATATTAATAGTAATGAGCAATTTTTTTACCCACAAATTTTATTAATAAAACCGTTTTAACATTTCCAAGTGAAAACTATTCTCTAGTTATGAAAACAGACTGCAAGTTAGAACTCTTTCCTGGTCATCCTCTTTATGAAGTAATGGAGGTTAGAAAAGATGTACGTTTTGAACTTCCAAGATTTTTGAATAAAACGATTCATTTGAAAGGTCTTGATTAATTAGCTCTACAACCTTGTATCATACCACAAACACTGCTAGATTGTCGGTTGGACTTCCCCTTTTCTAAGGTTTTTTATATGTTTTGTATAGTTATAGTGTTGAATTTTTTATTTGTAAATTTAAACTAGAATGATGAGTTAAGTAATCAAAGGATACTGATTTCGTACTTGATATAGTGGTAGTATCAGATTGTCTCTGGACGTGAATGCTATGATAATTGTCAACATTCAACATGAATGCACTTTTTGAATATTTTGTAAGCGCATCTTTACATATTTCTCATGTTCATCTGCAACTTGCTTCTTTTTACGATCTACTGCTCTTGATGTTGTGGTTGCTCCAAGACTTATACCTACCGAATCTAAATAGAATGCAAGGTTGAACTTAAAGAGTTAACTTTTGTATTATTTAATGAAGCAAGAAGATAACATATGAACATCTTCATACAGTCATTGTTTGTTTATTACGTTCAAATGACCAAGCTGCTAAATAGAGTTGGTCAAAAAACCCCTTCAAGCTTGGTTCTATTTCTTGAAGCAATCCTCGCATTTCATCAAATTCGTATATAGGACCTTCTTTATTATATTCTCTTTCATAAAAGATTTTAGCAATCATCTTGATGGCTCTAGTGAAATCAATCTTTTCACTTATCTCTTCCTCTTCCTCTTTCTCTTTCCCTTTCCCTTCCCTTCCTCATCTGTAGTTTTTGCTCTACTAGATCCTCTTTTTAAAGGATTTTCTATGAAATTCATATAACAAATGTTACATAAAACAACGCCTTGTGTCCACGTTATCTTCGCTAAGTTGTTGTTCTCAGCTTCTTTCCATTTATTGCCTTTCAGTGATGAAATTTAGCTGATTTAATGGTTTTACATTCTGTACAAGATTTAATTTCAGACATTTTTTCGAGTAAATCGTATTATGAAAGTTGTGAGATTCAAAGGGATTCAAAAGATATGATAACAACAAAGTGTAAAGCTTGCACGTAATACCCTTGTAAAAGTATTTTGAAAAAAAATTGAAAATCAATTGTGAAAATTCATTCCTTATATAGGACGGTCTCTCCTGTTGCATAGATATTCATAAGAACCTAAACCGCAAATGATTATAAATTTCATATATGTTTATTATGTATATTTTTGCGCAATTAACAAAAGCAAGTGTTCCGATACTTTTGTCCAGGTACTGTATTTATATTTTATTAAATAATGATACCTTTTATTTTACTCTGTTATATAATAGTAAATAAATAAATACATGTATATTTGTTAGTGACAAAGTCACCCCACACAATAAATAGTCCATTCTAAGATAGAACCGATATTAAATTCAACGAAATCACCATTATTATGATTGTGGCTTATCTGTTTGCACAATTTCATCAATATGTCTCAATTTTTCCATTTTATTCATCCTTTCTGCCATTGATCTCATTTCTTCCTTTAGAGTTTCATACTTTTGACTTTCTTTCTTTTGACTTTCTTTCATTTCGGCCATTGATTTGTACATTTTCTTGATTATTTCCTTTTGAGTTTCATCCTTTTGGCTTTTATCGATTATTTTACGCAGGCAACTAGACATTGGTTTTTTCATCCCCTCGATTATTCGCTTTTCTTCATCCTCCTCTAGCTCTCCATCTATTACTTTACGCAGATGATATTGAACAGATGTTGTTGAAGTAGCCAGAAAATCACCAGGTGCTGGTTCCTCCTCTGTAAAGAAGGAGACATTTCTTGTTAAAGAGAGAACCAGTATAAATATGCATGCCTTGACAAAGTAAAAATCGATTGGCCATTTTAACACAATAAATAATGTTTGCAGAATATTCGGGAGATAAAACCATCCAGGAATAAATAATATTTTAACAATCTTCGAATAAACTACTTGTTCCAATCTCTCGGAGCCATATCTCGTAAGACAAAATAGTATAAAAAGAATGAATATTGTAGCCAACAATATCCCAAATGATGTAAGGAATACTATACTAATTGGATCAAAAAGATTTCTAGTTGTAATAAAAACAATCCAGAATGATGGAATGACTATAGCTGGGAAATACATCAGGAATACCCAGATAAATATAAAATAAACAGGTTTATCCTCAATAACATTTTTAATTGTTTCATTCTTAATTATCGCGGCTACTGCGGCAGTTACATGTAAACCCTTGTTTACAAATGAAAATATCTTTATACTCAGCAAATCATCGTAAGCCAAAGAAACTACCAGCGGAATCACCCAAGTGACAGTGTTGTATAATAAGTCATCCAGTACTGGCAACAGCACATTTTTTATGGGTCCAGTCTTCCCTGAAACACCGAATAGAATCACAAAAAATACTGGAAAGAACGTGTTAATGATTGCATCATACACATCCTGTTTAGATTCATAATTTTCGTCGATGATAGATGCTGTCACAAGCGGAATGAATGAAAACAAAGTCAAGATTACTTTCTTGCTTTGGTTTAATAGAAATCCTTTGTTCATATCGAATAATAGGATAAAGCTTCACTCATAGACTTATTTTATTGATATTTATAGACAATGTATTTTCAATCAATAAGTATTAATTAGTATATATTAATATATTAATAACTCCGAAATCATTTTCTTTTTTGGACTTATTTATGTAACTCCTATGCAGTAAAGCAAACTTTATTTTGTTTCACTGGGATAAAAAATGCTATATAATAATCATTGTTCACTTGGTTTTTGTATACTGAAAATAAAAGAGAAAATAAAAAATTTTCCTGGAAATTACAGAAATGGTCTTTAATTATTTTTAAGTGCCTAAACGAGGCAAACGGATAGGTTTATAGAAAAATTTACATTGACCAAAAATAGAATTTATTTATTTTTTAGACAGGTAGAAGAAATGTCGTCAATTCTGAAGGCACATTTTCCCAATAAAATAGTAAGTAAATTGTTCTTTACAAATGCGAAAAGTCCAATCTAATTTTGAATTATATTATATTCATCAAATAAACAAGATTGATTATTTTTATTTTTATAATAAAATTTAAACCTAACTAAATTAATTAATGATTTGGTGACGAAAACACAACAGCTTCCTTCCACCGCCTATATTAAAAATTGCAAATACTAACAACATCAGCAAATTTTTTTTGTGTAAAAATTATGTGTTATTTACATATATGAATTTTTTATAGGGATATTTCTCTGTATTTGTTATAATCATATAACTTTATGTAATA